GAAGAAAAGGAGTGAGGAAGGAATAAAAGGAGGAAGGAAGGAAAAATGGAAGGAAGGCATTGGAATAATTCAAGTGTTAATCTTGGATTTTACTGTGTAAATTATTGCAAAGAAATAGGTCTTGGGCTTGGCACGGTGGCTCATGCCTATAATCCCAGCACTTTGGGAGGCTGAGGCAGGTTGATCACTTGAAGTCAGGAGTTCAAGAACAGCCTGGCCAACATGGTAAAACCCTGTCTCTACAAAAAAAGACAAAAAATTAGCTAGGTGTGGTGGCGCACGGCTGTAATCCCAGCTACCCAGAAGGCTGAGGCAGGAGAAGCACTTGAACGCAGGAGGTGGAGGTTACAGTGAGCTGAGATCATGCCACTGCACTCCAGCCTAGGTAACAGAGTAAGACTCGGTTATGTCTCGAAAGAGGAAGGGAAGGGAAAGGGAAGGGGAAGAGGATGGGGAAGGGGAAGAGGAAGGAAAAGAAACGAAAAAAGAAAAGAAAAGAAAAAAAGTCTTGGGCAGTCTCAGAGGAAAGGCTCTCTAGTTTTTTGGCTATCCCCACCTTGATATCTGTACCTTTTGCTTTTTTTTTTCCCTCTTAAATAACCTTCCTACCCGAGATCTTTCATAAAATGTTTCATAGGGCAGATAAATTGCAAAAATCATATTATCTATTAGCATGGAGAAATACAGGGTACATATTATGTATAAGTAAGTAAAACAATTGACTATTTTAATTTACTCAAGGCTGAACTTTTGCAGTCTACTTCCATGCTAAGCCGATTTAAGTGTCTTCTTTTAGTTCTACTAATGCTAAAGTACTAAGTGTTTATCTAGTCTCTCCAGAATATACATTGAATTTTAGGCCCAATTTGTACCCTAGTCATCTCAACATGTTCTTGCAGAGGTATTCCTCTCAGTTCGTTCTTTCCTTTTGGGGGTTTGCAGCTCACAGTCATTTTTCCTAAACTACTTCAATGGTAGATTTTTAAAAAATATATGTTCTTTTCAGTCTTCAATAATAGGGTTGAGTCTATTGACTTCTGCCTTTTCCCATAACACTCCCATCTTTAAACAAAATATCCTACTTGAAGAGTTCTGCTTTCACAAACTTTCCATTTGTTCTTTCTCAATCAACCCCTAAATTTTGTCCTGAGGGCCACTTCATGGTTTCAAGTTGTATGTCCCTTAAAACAGCAGCTTTATCAAAGCCCACATTTATTAGATTGGTGCAAAAGTAATTGTGTCTTTTTGCCTTGAAATAGCAAACACCGCAATTACTTTTGCACAAACTTACTACATCAAAAGAGGATCCTGCCTTCTTTGACAATTCTCCCACGCTGTGGAGAGAGGAATTTTTATAATAGTCTTAAGACCAGTAGAGTTGTCTAAATAATCTGAAGGACATAAAAGAAAAAATCTAGTGTTGATTTTTAAAAAATTTTTAAATGATGGGGAAGAGGATAAAAGAAAGCTTTAATAACATTGGATAGCAGAAAATAGAGGTAAAAAAGTATTAAAATGAGGGTGATGTTCTTTTGAGATTAGAAAACCTTGGAACAAGAGGCAGAAATGAAGTATAGTTCCTATAAGCTTTTTTTTAAAAAAAGCATTATATGGTATGCAGTGTATGAGATTCAAGTGGAATAAAACAGACACATAGAATTATTTGTGATTTAAAAAAAAAAAAAAAGCTATTTTAACAAGTAGCTTAAGAGTACTTCAACTTCACCAATGAAGGCAAGTGAGAAGAAAGGCAACTACAAAAGCCAAGCTCAATTCTGCCATCTACTGCCTAGCAGTAAAACCATGTGTGGGGGAGACCTATGTCTATTCCAGTACCCAAGGTCATTGCTAGGGCACTGACACCCAGTTAGAGAAAGATGGGATGAAAGCCACTGAGATTATATCCTAGAGATGCAGCAAGGTTTCCATCAACATAGAACAGACACTGGGTTTGATTTAACCCCTTTAATAATTAGACCAACTCAGGGTTTCTAATATGGTGTATGTATAACTAATTATAGTCCACCCCTTTTTAAAACTTCAACACTATTGGAGTAAAAGCTCAATTTATATAGCCCCTTTGAATAGTCAACAACATTATGGAAACACAGCTGCCCCTATTTTAGTTTTCTCAGTATCTCTTGGACCTGAAAGTAACAAACTGTGTCCTCTTTATTCATTCTTCAAGGGAAGATGGATCTTTAATGTTGGAATAGGAGGTGAGGAACAGTATTCCAGGCTTTCTCTGCTCTATTCTTCTTAAACAGTGTTGTCATTAAAGGACAAAATTATAGATAACATAATTGGAAAGACGGTGTGGTTTTGCCTCCCTAAAAAAAGAAATGACTTTCATATTAAACTATTCCTCAAGTCATATTTTGACAACAAAACTCATAGCGTATTTTATTTGTAGTCAACAACAATAGCTTTTGTTTGTATATAAGAAAAAAAGCAAGGGATCACATTTTCTATCTCTAGATTCCTAGTTCTGTAGTGAGAAGGAACACGATAAACTTTAGCCTAGTAATTCTGCAACTATCATGTGTTGATAATTTTTTGTCAGTTGCCTAAACTTTAAAGTAAAAAACAAGTATTTTGAAAAGATAGATTCAACTTAGGAAGCCACGGTGGGAAAATCACTTGAGCTCAAGGGTTCAAGACCAGTCTGGGCAATATAGGTAAGACCTATCTATAAAAATAAAGAAATAATAAAAAAAAAACAAAGAAAGGAATATAAAAGATTGATTGGAAAAGTAGTGATTAAAAGCCCAGGCTCGTAGTCAGGAAAGTATGACTTCTGATTTCTGGCTCTATTGCTCATGAATTGTTCAGCCTTGTCAAGCCTTAGTTTCCTTCTCTGTAAAATCCTCCCCTATAGGATTACTATAAGGATAAATGAGATCACGTATGTAAAGAATTTAGAATAGTGTCAGCATAAAACACATCTTCAATAAATAATAATCATTATTGGTATTTTTATAATCAGTTAGACTTCTACTTTTGATAGTCATAACCATAACCCCATACTTCTCGCGATATTTTATGACATCCAAAAAATGCTTATATTAGTTCATTTAATTTTGTTTAATCCTCACAACCACCTCTGAGACAAATAGGTATGAGTATATACCTCATTTTATAGACAGAGGAATTGAGAATCAAAGAAGTCAAGTGGCTTGCCAAATAGTTCACAGCTGATGAGGAAGCTTCAAACAGACCCTGGCACTCACATCTGAGTTTTGCTATGCTGCTGCAGCTGCCCTGAAGAGAGAAGATGTGACTATTAAAATGTCTAATCTTGCTCAAACTGGTCTTGGTGAGAAACATTCTAAGCCTGATTACTTTTATCCTGCCCTTCCTATGTCCTGAGGCAGAGGGTTTCAGTTACTAAGAACTTTTTCAGTCTCTAAGAAATAACTGACTCATAATAACCCATTATCTAAGTGTGTAAATCAGTTTATGAATCCACTCCTACATTGAGGTTGGTTTACAAGCATTGAACAAATGCTTGGATGCCTCACTCGTAAAATTCCAAGTGGCACCTGGCTGTGATTATGCTACTTTCTCTGAAGACTCCTATCTACAGAAGGAAGTCCAAAGTTCAAAACTCATGGCCCTTCACTATGTCCACCTCTTTCTCTAGCCACTCTCCCCTGACCACTCCCCAGAAGTACCCTGTTCTCATAGCATCATGCCTTCCTCCTTCCAAACTCTACCTCCCAAGCATGTGATTCAAGGCTCTGCTCATGAGAGGTGACAACATGCTAGCAGCCCTAGCTCTCAGCGCCTCCTCGGCTTTGGAGTCCACTCTGGCCTTCAGCCCGCCATGGCACTGTGGGAGCCCCTCTCTGGGCTGCCCTAGGCCAGAGCCAAGGCCCTCTGCTTGCAGGGAGGTATGGCGGGAAAGGCGCTGGTGGAAACGAGGCTGCGCACGGTGATCGCAGGCCAGCGTGAGTTCTGGCGGGCGGTGGTGCGTGCTCATCGGCCGCACTGGGAGCAGCTGTCCGGTGCCGCCGGCACAGGGCAATGAGGGGCTTAGCACCCCGGCCAGCAGTTGCAGAGGGTGTGCCAGCTCCCCCAGCAGTGCTGGCCGGCAGGCGCTGTGCTTGAATTCTCGCAGGGCCTCAGCTGACTCCTCGCAGGGCAGGACTCTGAACCTGCAGCCGGCCATGCCCGAAATCCCCTCCCACCACCAGGGGCTCCTGCAAGGCCTGAGCCTCCCTGACGAGCACAGCTGCCCCGTGCCGCAGCAGCGCCGGGTCCCATTGACCACCCAAGGGCTCAGGAATGCCAGCGCAGGGCTGGGACTGGCGGGCAGCTCTGCCTGCAACCCCAGCTTGGGATCCACTAGGTGAAGCCAGCTGGGCTCCTGGGTCTAGTGGGGACTTGGAGAACCTTTATGTCTAGCTAAGGGATTGTAAACGCACCAATCGGTACTCTGTGTCTAGCTCAAGGTTTGTAAAAGCACCAATCAGTGCTCTGTGTCTAGCTAATCTAGTGGGGACTTGGAGAACTTTTATGTCTAGCTAGAGGATTGTAAATGCACCAATCAGCACCCTGTCAAAACGGACCAATCAGCTGTCTGTAAAACGAACCAATCAGCAGGATGTGGGTGGGGCCAGATAAGTGAATAAAACCAGGCTGCGGGAGCCAGCCAGGGGCAACCTGTCTGGGTCCTCTTCCAAGCTGTGGAAGCTTTAATCTTTTGCGCTTTACAATAAATATTGCTGCTGCTCACCTTTTGGGTCCACGCTGCCTTTAAGAGCTGTAACACTGTAAAGGTCTGTGGCTTTGCTCCTGAAGCCAGTGAGACCACAAACCCACTGGGAAGAATGAACAACTGCAGACATGCTGGCTTTAAGAGCTGTAACACTCACCATGAAGGTCTGCAGCTTCACTCCTGTCAGCGAGACCATGAACCCACCAGAAGGAAGAAGCTCCAGACACATCTGAACACCTGAAGGAAAAAACTCTGGACACACCATCTTTAAGAGCTGTAACATTCACTGCGAGGGTCTGCGGCTTCATTCTTGAAGTCAGCGAGACCAAGAACCCACCAATTCCGGACATACTCAGACATCCATCCTCTCTAAGGCTCACATTTAGCAATCTCCATTTCAAGATGAATTGCTTTCTCATCCAGGCTCCCATGGCAGCTAAAGGAAATAAAAATATTTCAGCCCCAAATATATTTCTTTGACATATTTTGTGATAGCTGTCAGAGGGTCAGTAAATAGAAATGGCCCTGCAAAGCTGTCTTTTGTGGGGGAAATTTGCATCATTAGACAATCTGCATTAACGCAGCCAGGCCTTCCCTAGTCCAGATCTAGAAAAGATTAACTGAGAGTATGACATCTCTTAAAGATCCAAAAGAAACATTGTCCATTTATTTTCTCTGAGGGCTGCTACCTGTGACGTTTCATCTCCATACCAAGACCACTTTTTCTAGCCAAGTCTCTCCTTCTCTCCCTCCCATAACCTGTCTCACCACTAAAATCTGATTTACCACCATAACCTAGTTTTGGCCATGCTCCGAGCTCCTGTTCTTTCTGTAACCTCAAGGTGATATACAAGCTCCTACACCCCACTGGGGAGCTGAATCTTCATTCTGAAGACTCCTGTGTCATGGGAAACTATGATCAAATAAACTATGGTCAAACAAGTTTGACCATAGTTTCTTTTAGTATCCTTTTTCTCCTATTAATCTGCCTTTTGTGAACTGAATTTTTCAGGGAACCTTCTGAGAGTAAAGGGGAAGCTTTCCCTTCACCCCTACACAATTTGCCACATTCCTCTTTCCTACACTTATATTTCATCATCAATGTTTGTGCATCTGGATTATCCACTGGACTGAAGACTCCTTGAGAGCAAAAATCCCAACCATTTAACTTTAGTGCTCCAGCAGCTGGAATGCAAGTGTTTGATCTGTGAACTATACTGGGTTTACCAGCCGCAGGTGGCATGCTAAAATTAATGAATATACCTCCTCGGATATCTAAGGAAAACAGATCTTTGCAAATCTCCGTGTATCTACTCAGAGAGTTCCACAAAACTGCCAAACGCCAAGCCAAAGGTAGAAGCATGATCAAGAAAGAGAGATGATGCCACACAAGGATGGGGAACTGAAGTATGAAAGAATTGATTCGCTTATAAATTACATAAACCAAAAATAAAATTCTAAGGTCCCTCAACCATTTGGGTGAACTTCCTCCTCAGTTAGGTCTTTTAAAACTTAACCTGAGAGACTGTTTCAGGCCATGACAGGAAGTGGGGGGTTAAACATGCTTCATTATACCTCTCCGGCATTAACATCAACACAGATTTTAAGTCTGATAAGAAACATTTTACAATTTATTTTCTCTGATGCTTGCTAGCTAAAAGCTTCATCCGCATAGTAAAACTTTGGTCTCTACAGCCTCTTATCGCAACGCAGACATTCTTTTCTATTGATCCCAGGTCTTTAGACAAACTCAACCAATTGTCAACCAGAAAATGTTTAAATTTACCTATAGCCTGGAAGCCCGACTTTAAATGGTCCAGCCTTTGTGTACAAAACTAATGTACTTCTTACATGTATTTGATTGATGTCTCATGCCTCCCTAAAATGTATAAAACCAAGCTGCACCCCAGCCACATTGCATACATGTTCTCAGGACCTCCTGGGTCATGGTCACTCACATTTGGCTCAGAATAAATCTCTTCAAATATTTTACAGAGTTTAACTCTTTTAATTGACAATTACATTACAAAACAACAAAATCTTTCCATTCAAGTTTTCAGCAAGTAATCATAAAAATTTAAATAAATCAGGGTGTATAGTATATTTAATATTTTGTCTTTTGATCATTGTACAGCTTTGAGTGAACTAAAGGAATTAAAAAATTTATCTTGTTTGTAAGTCTCAAAACAATTGTTGGTATCTCTGTTAAATAAATTTTTGGACAATAATTTTAAATATTACAGTCTTCTGGGTAGTATAGTTCACAGAATAATTTAGAAAACACGTTATCTAGATTTACAGTATGGACCTCTCAGGTAAGACAATAAAGGAGGAAAATCTTTTTAGGTGCCCCTATTTTTAGGAGCTTAGAATTCTCACTTATACTTTCTTCCAACCATGATGAATGGGTAACTCTTTTGCTTTCTTTGATTTTTGTTTAAACCTCTTAATTTTTTGTAAACTTTAAATCTATTATTCACCATCTCAAAATTTAAAGTATATATGCTCCTATCTTTAAAACTGCAAGTCTTTTTCTCCATCATTATTATTATTATTATTTGAATTACTGTTAACCTAGGCTCTCACCAATCCATTTGGCATTTACCCACACATTTTCCTGAAGATTTAATTTTAAAAGTTCTGTAAAATTACTGCATCTCCAAAATAACAGCACATCCATAGCTGTCTATTGAGTCAGTTGTATTTCTAAAAGAAATATGTTATTTCATGGCAGCTTCCTTGGTAAATTTCTGGTAGTCACTAGAAAATGAAAGGAAGTGGAAAAGGTCGGGGAGGGTAGAAAATAGTTGCGGAGAAGAATCACGGGTTATCACATACTTGAAAGGAATAATCCTGACAATTCAAAACTTCACAACTCTTTTTGTCCCTATGCTCCCTAGTGAAAACAGTCTGTGTTAGTCAGAAGCAAACTCACAAAGCTCATGAATAACTTGCATTCTTATGCTGGAGAACAGCCAATTACCCTGGGACCAAATTCCTGTTTACTTTGTAGTGAATGTGGGAGACAAGCTGCCTGCCAGTAGCTGTTAAGGCAGTAAAAACACATCCAGAGGCTATCACAAGGAGGAAATCACAGAGCAAGTTAATTTGTGAACTTCAAGGACAGAGATTAAATATTGTGCAATGAAGTTAATATGGTGGCCTTGTCTGAAAGTAGAAGAATCTGGTCTGAAAAGCACCCTTAAGAGTTAGCACGGTATTTGCATAATGAGTGACACATCCTTGTTTCCAGATTTGCTATTTTAATGATTGATATCCTTTAAAATTTTCTTCCAAAAAGGTTATTGATTCCCTGCTTGGGAAATGCAAGTTTGTTTTACTCTTGATTCTCTCATTCTGATATATCTGGTACAGAGAGTATTAAAGCCAAAAGGACAGTATTTGGGGTAAAATTTGGAAAATCCCAGACCCAGTTTGGAAACCAGGACAGCTCATTGTACCCTGTTGTTTTATAGAGCTGCCATGTTCAGTGTTTCGGGGACTTGAGGCTGCTCTGAGATCTCTTATTTGCATTCAGAACTTGAGTAGTTTTTGACCAAGGGGAAAAAATGAGAACTGCCAAATCTATTAGCTTGCCCATAACCCCAAATAGTGTACTATAGTGTCATACTCTACAGAGAAAACAGCTTACTCTTTAAATCCTAGGAATTACACACTAACTACTGGGTCACTATAACCTCACTATGATACCCTTAGGTCACATGTTGTGAATTTTACAGTTGTTTGGACATAGAGTTTATCAAAAATTAAAATAAAATAAACCTTTGGATAGAGTATAACATTGGGGCTCAGAAAGCAATAACCCAAACACTGGCGCTATGACAGGCTAAGGCCTTAGACACAGCCCCCAAATCAAGGTCCCTCTATCTTTGCCTTGTCCCACAGCCCTTGCCTCAAGCACAGGGAGGGACTCTCTCTGGAATTTCCTTATCTAACCAAGAAAGCTTCTTTCTAAGAGAAATACAATTGTCTTCCTCCCTTCTCTGAAATCTCATTATCTGTCTCAGAAAAGAAGACTAAGGAATGCAACCACAGGGAGATGGACTTTTTCACAATATAATGCCAGCCTCTAGGGCTCATTCAAATTCCAAAGAGAATCATTTACAAATTCATTGTTCTCCCTAATAATCATTTGTGGTCCCTCAAAGGAATTGCCTACAGTCCCCATCTCTCCTCTCCCCTATGGAATAGAGTATATAAACTTCTGTACTACGTTGGGTTATTAGGCAATCTTTCTCCTTAAGTTCCCCAGTGCTAACCATGTTAAAATAACGTGCCTTTTCTCCTACTTATCTGTCTTTTGTCAACTGATTTTTAGTGATCCTTTGGAGGGTGAAGGGGAAGTTTTCCTTTGGTTCCTACAATAAGATGGACCAATATTATACTGATTTTCAATGCCATAGCTAATCATATTATATTGAGGTTTGTAAAACTAATGAAACCTACCAAGATTAGGATTATGGGAGGAGCCTGAATTCTGCTAAAATGTAGGTGCTGTTTCTACAATCCTTTCCTGCTCAGGAGTCATGTGGCCAGAAGTCACAAGATTTGTTGCTTCCCCAGCTGCACCTATAGGTAACATCACTATTGTAGAACCTAAGATTGCTCTTTTGAGATGTTTTTCAGACTTACCCAACCTGGACTAGTCACCCATGACTCATCTGTCCTGTGGGCCCCCACCCACCCCACCACCACCCATCCAGAGACAGACTCAATGCACACAGACTATTTTCCACACCTCTATAATTGCATCCCCAGCCAATCAGCAGTACCCATTCCCTAGTTCTCTTCCCACCAAACTATGCTTGCAAAACCCTAACCTCTGACCCTTCAGGAAGACTAATTTGAGTGATAACTCCAGTTCTTCTGCATAGCTGGCCTTGTGCTAATAATTAATTCTGTACCACAGTACCATAGTCTCAGTGAACTGGTTTTGTTTGTACAGTGGGCAAGAAGAACCAGTCAGGCAACTACAGTTGTAATGCCATGGAAAATTGAAATGCATCTTGCACATGTCCCATGTTGGAAGAACTTAGAGGTGTTTTTCAATGTTTATTAGAGAACATGAGAAATAGCCTGCCAGGCCCAGAATCCAGAGCTTTATCCACTAGCACTTTAAATCTAGTCAAATGGAACATACTCACTGGTGCTGAGAGACCTAGGTGCCTAGGGAAAATGAGCACAGCAATATACTAATAGAAGACAAATATTCAATCAACTATAAAGCTTTAGGCTTTAGAAAGACACAATCTTTTTATGGTTTAGTTGTCATCATTTCGCATTCAGATTTATCAATTAAAATGTGTCATTTTTATGCTGTAGTTCAAATGTTATTTCCCTTCTTGAAGGACACTAAAGACTCTAATCAAAAGATTATTAAAGTCTATGCATAGTTCAGATAATAAATAAACCGCC